AATAGAAGTTAATATTTTTATATTAAATTATTTTAAGGCAATTACATACGATGTTGTGTAATATTAGTTTCTAGTATTGCTTGACTAATTATCAAGTAAGAAATTAACCACCAAAAAGCATGAAGGTTTACAAATCCCCACATTAACACTTCATACATCGTCACTCAATACTTAACACGTAATATAAAATTTACAGGAGTTTAGAAATTAGTTTTCTTGTCCAATGATGTTTTTTTCGCAATGTATCAAATCCACAATCCCGCCGGCAGCAAATTTACACCTATTATGCCCACCACCATCTCAGCTAAAATTTGACGACGTTGATATAGACAAATGTTTGATATTAAACTCCAAACTCTCCTGGGTTTGCATATGTAATCTTTAAGGGTGATTATTATTGTCCATATTTGAACTGTTATCCCAAGAGTCATCATAATATATAGCCCAAATTATTTCAAAGAAACTCATTTTCATGTTGTTAATAACGCCGTGCTGAGATTTGGCTCAAGATTCAATTTTCAAAGAAAAATCATAATTTTAGACTTTTTGGTTCAATCGGATAATTATCAATATGTAACTCAAAATTACCAAATAAGTCTTTGAACACACTCAAATATTAATAAAAAAAAGTATTCACAAAAATTTCATCACCAACAAAAGTCGTACCAAAAAGTTATAGGGTCAAAACGGACTCATAAAAAACAAGTTTTGCACTTCCGGATGTTGGAGTTATTTCACTAGATGTCTAAATTGTGTACCACACTTTGAGAACTTGAACCGGACATCAGATCTTCGAATGACAAAACCTCAATTTTAGAAAAATAAAATAGAGACGTCTGAAATCTTGCCCGGACGTCTGAAACTTGAACCAAACGTTTGAATTAATCCAATAACAAGACGTCTGATTATGGATTTTTAGCAAATTTTCTAGATTCTAACTTAGATTTTAGCAGTTATGGATTTGATATTTTCTTACTCAGGCATATTAATTAGACGGAATTAATGATTCTGATGAATGTCATATCCGTGTTGTATCCCAACCGTTTGCATCCTAGTCATCACCTAAATCTTGTAATAACAATAAATAAATCGCAATATGTTGAAAGGGAAAAAGAAAAGTTAAAGAGAGCCAAAAAAAAAAAAAAAAAAAAAAAAGAGACCAGATGGCCAGGTCGATGGTGACAAGCGAGCGACAGGGCGCAGGCGGTGGTGATTCCCTAAGGGCGCGCTAAGTTTCAATGTAATGGCGGTAAGATATACCATTTCACCTCTCTCCCCTCCTCTTCGTCTCCAATGCCATTACCTAGCTCTCTGCCAAACGTAACCCACGCAAAAAATCCTCCGTTTCAATCCCGTCCCCTAAACCTTCATACACCTCAATCAAAACGCCCAAAACCATACCTTTGCCGAGATCTTGAGAGCAAGCCCTCCCCCCCCCCCCCCCCTCTTGCTACCTCCTCCACCTCTTACGAAAGGCCTTCACCTACTTCCTGAGTTGCGGCTGGGGAAGGGAAGGAGAGGACTATACAGTTTCATACAAAAGAGATCAAGAGACCGAGATCTACGCCTTTCCTCTCTCTCAAAGGCCTCTCACCCCCCCCCCAAGATCCCAAGGTGCTTCCTTTGTGGTAGATCTGATCACATGGCCAACAAATGCTCTCTTGGAGACTTCAAATGCTTTGCCTGCAACCTTGTAGGGCATACCTCAGTTAGTTGCCCTAACAAAAAGCAGCCTCCTTTACTCAGCCTCCCCCCTCAGATACCCCCACCACCTCCCCCTCCTCTTTTCCTCCCAAAAGTCTCTCTCCCCCCTTCTGTTAGTTCGAGTCTGGTTGAGTTCTCGAGATTTGCGCACCTTCAGATCAAGTCTGGAAAGCCCTCCTATCCAGATCTGGTGGAGAGCTTGGAGCGCCATCTCAAGGTAGAGAAATGGACCTATGTGATTAGGCAATCCTCGGAGAACTCCTACTTCATCCAGTTCCCGGACGAGGAGACGTTGGATCATGCTTGTTCTAAACCCTTCTTCAACTTGGGTAACTTTGGGGGTATTTTCACCCCCTGGTCAGAGTCTTTTGGCCTTAAAGTGCTTCCGAAATTTTTTTATGTCTGGGTAGAAATTATTGGTCTCCCCATTCATTTATGGGACTCGGAGTTCATTACCAGTATTCTTGTGGACATAGGAGATGTCATTGCTTTCTCCGACGATATCATGCTTAAGAGAGAAGCCCTAGCTTGCAAAGCTATGCTGCATGTTAGGGATCCCTCTGAAATCCCCCAAGAAGTCATATTCAGGTATGAAGCAGAAAATGGAGTTCATATCATGGAAGGATCAGTCAAACTAAGAGTGGTAGGTGAGCCACTGCCAGCGGAAAAAGGAAGAGATCGGGATCTCTTCGAAGTCTTTGTTCGTAAAGAAGGTGCCTCATCCCCTCCTCCCAAAGATCAGCCCCTCCAATGCCCTCGCCAGAGCCACTTGTCTCTATCCCCGAGACCAAATCAGGCCTCCTTAAAAGGAAAAAGCCCAATGTTGGAAGAAGATGGCTCAAATCCTCCTCCTCTCCCCCCATCAGTTCCAGCTCCGCCTGAGCTCATGGCGGTCTCTTTCAAAGGTATTACGATCGACATCTCCAAAGATTCCTGGTTCTCTCTCAAAGCAGCTTTCCCACATCTGGTAGACGTTCCGTCTTTATCCCCAAAAGGAGACTCTGCCATCCAGATCAGCTCCACAGACTCTAAGGACCAGAACTCTTCCTCTGATATTCCCCCTGGTTTCGAACCGGCCAAGAAGAAGTCCAAACGAACCAAGAAAAAAATCTCAAGCAGCAACCCCTCGCACCGGCCTTTCAGGAAACATCTAGCCATGATCAAGAAGGGTAAGCTTTCAGGTATATCTAAACCATACTCCTCTTCCTCTGTTTCCACTCCTCCCATTCCCCCACCGGACCTGGACTCTTTGGAAGAGATTTCAGTGAACTGTGGCATTCTAGCTCCAGTAGATAAGTCTGGTTTGAAGGAGATCCAGAATAGGATGTCTTTAGGGGACCTTCCCCTCTGAGCCCCCTCCCTCCTCATTTCTCTAAGTTGTCTTCTTCCGTTTTATCCATGCGTATAGGATCTTGGAATGTTCGCGGGTTAAACGACCCTGCTAAACGTAGGTTGGTCAGGGAGTGTCTTGCCCTTGCCAAAGTAAACCTGGTCGGTCTTCAGGAATCAAAAATATCAGCCTCCAACCCCTCTTTCCTTAAATCCTTAGGGGGAAACTCTATTACTTCTTGGTTATCTCTTGATGCATTAGACTCGAGGGGGGGTGTTCTCCTGGGATGGAACGATGACATCTTTTCCTGCTCCTCCTCGTCCTCAGACATTTTCTCTGTTACGGCTACCCTCACTCATAAACCTTCAAATTGGAGCTTTGTAGCTACTTCCATCTACGCCCCTTGTGATCCATCTGATAGGGAAGTTTGCTGGTGGGAAATCAGCTCCTCCTCGTCCTCAGACATTTTCTCTGTTACGGCTACCCTCACTCATAAACCTTCAAATTGGAGCTTTGTAGCTACTTCCATCTACGCCCCTTGTGATCCATCTGATAGGGAAGTTTGCTGGTGGGAAATCAAGAGGATTAGAAGTTCTCACGCTTTGCCATGGGTTGTTTTTGGTGACTTCAACATGACCTTGAGTTCAGAGGAAAGAAGTGGTCGTTCCAGCTCCCTTAGAGAAAAATTGCTTATTCAGCGCCTAGCACAGCTCGGCACAAACCGACGAACCAACGAGGCGACGAGATCGACGAATCGCAAACCTTAGATCCCCCCCATCCTTAGCTAGATTGGATAGATTCTTAGTTTCCTTGGACTTTGAAACTAAATTTCCTCAAATGGTCCAGTTTGCTTATCCAGCTCAATGTTCAGATCATTGTCCAGTCTTGTTGGATACCAACTCTCCTGTTGTCCCTCCTCTCTTCAGACTCGAAAAAATGTGGTTATCAATCCCCTCTTTCCTTTCCTTCATTGAATCCAGTTGGGCTTCCTTCTCTCCTAGAGGGGAACAGACCATGTCCCTTCCTGCCAAGCTAAAACTCATTAAGAGGAGAATCAAATGGTGGAAAAGGTTTTGCTTCAGATCCCTCCCCCATCATCTCTCTGATCTCATGTCCCAAATTCACTCTCTTGATGTCTCCGAAGAATCGAGGGACCTTTCCTCTTCAGAGCTCCATCTTAGATCTGATTTAAAGGATCAGGTCCTCTCTCTCGCTAACGCTGAAGAGATAAAATGGAAACAAAGGTCCCGTATTCAGTGGCTTAAAGAAGGGGATAACAACTCAGCCTTCTTTCACAAAGTGGCCTCCTATCACCGCAGAAAAAATTTTATTCCCCATCTCATTATAAATGATTCAATCATCTCCTCTGATAGTGATATTAAGCTATCTTTCCTTTCCTTTTTTTTCTAATCTATACAGCAAACCACCTGCCTCTAGCTTGAGACCCAACTGGAATCTCTTATACCCTTCAGGCCTCCTAGACTTAGCCTCCCTCGATCTCCCCTTCTCCCAACAAGAAATCACTGAAGCAGTTTTTGGCCTTCACCCTGACAAATCCCCAGGACCAGATGGCCTTCCTATTCTCTTTTATCAAAAGTTTTGGCCAGTTATTAAATCTGATGTCTTCGACTTCATTCAAGGTCTATACTCTCACCCCCAGTCTCTCCAAAACATCAACTACTCCCATATCTGCCTCATCCCCAAAAAGGCAGATGCTATTTCCCCCAAAGATTTCCGGCCCATAAGCTTGATCAACAGCTCATGTAAGATATTTTCTAAAGTCCTGTCTAATAGGCTTAGAAAAGTTCTCCACTTGCTTATAGACAACTCTCAATCTGCCTTTCAAGAAGGTAAATCCTCCCTGGATTCTTTTCTGTTAGGCCACGAAATGATAAATTTCTGTTCTTCTGGGAAAAAAGAGGTGTGTGCCATTAAAGTTGATTTTTATAAGGCTTTTGACTGTGTCGACTGGTCCTTTCTCCTTTCCCTTCTTGAAGCCAGAGGCTTTGGCCCCAAATGGTGTTCCTGGATTCACCATATCATTTCATCCTCTAAATCTGCCGTATTGGTCAATGGCTCCCCAACCTCTTTCTTCAAATGCTTCAGGGGTCTCAAGCAAGGAGACCCCCTCTCCCCTCTCCTCTTCCTGCTTGTGACGGATGTCCTCAGTAGGATGCTTAAATGCAGTGCAGATGCAGGTGACCTTTCCGATCTCAAATTGAAAGGTAAACTCAATTCCATCAGATCTATTCAATTTGCGGACGACACCCTGATCTTCTCCAGGGCTAACTCCTCTGATATGGTTACTCTCAAATCCATTCTTTCAATTTTTGCCAGCATTTCAGGGCTTTGTGCTAACCCTCAGAAATCCAATCTGTACTATCTTGGGAAAACCCCTCATAAAGGCAATTTCCTGGCTGATACCCTCAACTGTGCAGTCGGTACCCTCCCTTTCTCTTATCTGGGTCTCCCCCTGAAAAGGGGATCTCTATCCAAAAGAGAGTGGCAACCTCTCCTAGAATCTTTTAAAAAAAAGCTATCTTTATGGAAGAACAAAACTCTTTCAATAGGAGGCAGATTAACATTGCTGAACTCAGTGCTCTCCTCTATTCCCCTTTATTACATGTCTTTCTTCAAGTTGCCGATATGGGTCTCCAAGGCCATTGATAAAATCAGAAGAAATTTCCTCTGGAATGGCAGCCACAGCTTCTCTAGATCCAAGTGCCTCATTAACTGGGGTATAGTATGTAAACCCAAAGTTGAAGGTGGGCTTGGGGTGATTGATATCCCCTCCTTTAATTCAGCCCTCCTCTCCAAATGGATCTGGAAAATTTGGGATAGATCATCATTCCTCAGTGAAGTGTTTTTTTTTATATATTCCAAACATGGAGCTAACCCTTTTGCTAATCATCCGAAGTTGGCACACTCAAGATTTTTCCAGAACCTTCTCTCAGCTCAATCCACTTTCTTCAGCATTGTCAGATGGAATGTCGGTAATGGTACTTCGAGCAGTTTTTGGCATGACAAATGGGCAGCAGCTAACACCCTTAGCAGCCTCTTTCCCCATGCTTACAAGCTTGCCTTCTCGAGTAATTGTAGCATCAGTTCGCAAGGTAGATGGGCATATGGTTCATGGCTTTGGCATCCTATTATTAGAAGGGGATCTTCCCCAAGAGAGAGGGATGATGTTATTCATCTCCACTCCTTCCTAGAACATCTATCTCCAGGTGGCCCATCCGAACAAGACTCCTTATGGTGGCCTCTTCACCCATCGGGCGCTTTCTCTGTAAAATCCCTTTACTCTTTTACTTCTTCAGGGGGTTTTAAATCCCAGTTTTTCAAGTTAATATGGAAATCCAACATTCCCCTTAAGGTAAAAATCCACCTCTGGATCATCTCTAAAGGGAAATTGAATACCAAAGATAATTTGATCAAAAAAGGTTGGAACGGTGATCCAAGTTGTCCATTATGTCATCGGGAGACGGAGTCCCATGACCATTTATTTATACACTGCTCTTTTGCTCGTGAAGTATGGAATCACCTTCTCCCACATTTCCCAGCAAACTGCTGGCCTTTAAACATGGAAAAGCTGCTGTTGCTCTATCAATTACCCAACAGTTGCCTGAATATCAAAACCTTTTGGAAGATCTTGTTGCCTTGTTTCTGTTGGTGGATATGGTTTACAAGGAACTCTTTAATTTTCAGAGATACTCCTCCTAACTCGCTATTAGCTACATCTAATATTGCGAGATTCTCACTTTTCTGGACAGGTGAAGAAGATGACAGGACGGCGAGGAGGCTTCGTAGGGCAGCCCTTAATCTCGGCCTCCAGAACCTAGCGAAGAAGTCTTCCTCAGGGGATGCAGGGGAGAGCCTCCGCAGCAGCTAACATCTGTATCCTGAGTGGCATTCAAGACATGCTTTGTTGACTTTGGGTGTTTTATTTGTTCCCTTTTGGTTAGGGGCTATCAGTGCCTAGCATTTTCAGTCTCTTATCAGTATTGTAGTGTTTTCTATGATCCTTATGAAACGTTGTCTATTTTTGGTTTCCTTTTGCCTTCTTTAGAAGATGGTATCGGTTGGTGTGGTGTGGTAGGTGACGACTATGGTCCGCTCCCTACCCACCTCTCTCACTGATCTCACCATCATCTAGAGAAGAAGTATGTACATTCTTCTATCTTCTATTAATATATTCAAATGAATAGGGTACCTCACCCTGTTTCTCAGGTTCAAAAAAAAAAAAAGTTAAAGAGAGCAAAATTAAGCACGACGGAAAAGGAAAAGATATATGGAACCGTTCACATCTAATTAAAACAAAGAAGACAGATCTAATACAAGCCGACTCTCTCTCTTTTCTTTCCTTTTCCCCACTTTTACATTTATATAAAGATAAAGGATCTTCCACATCACTCAGTCGCATGAGCCTCCTGCAAGTTCCCCACAACGCATCAAAATAAGTAAAATAAATCCTACTAACAAACGAACTATTTGATTGGAAATATAATTAATTAAGAACATTCACTATATTGATTTTTTTTTCTTTATTTATTTAACTTAAATTCGCCATCACGTACCTTAGCATGTTTTCCCATCTTAGCTCCATATTTGTTAAGTAATTGCTCCCTCACAAACTTGTCATAGATGAAGGATGCACCTTTAAACTGAGGGAGAACTAGCCATGCTACAAATGCCACCTTTATTTGGTACCACATAGGTATCCTTCGTTCATCCAAATCAAAATTATAAAATAAAAAAAACATTAAGAACTCATCATAATATATTGTATATATATGCTCCAAAGTCAAAAACATTAGGGACATGATTCTAAGAAATATATAACGTACCAATATAAAATAGGCTCGGCCACCATCTCCGTTAGGGTTATAAAGGAGTACAGGATCCAGTAGGCCAGCCATTGTTCATCGTCAACCTTCGACGGGCTCTCAATGGCGCAGACCGACGCGTACCTGCAGCATAGATCATAATCAATTAAGAAGAAGATGTACGTCTGAAACAAGCAAAATGGAAAAAGGGATTGATCGCTAGGAAATGGAAATCAGTATATGAATATTGGTGGTGGAAACTTACAAGGGGTATAAGAGCATGACCGTAGGCCTGCACATATATATATAATTAGTTAACAATAAGATCACAATTAATGTCACAACAAATAAAATTCAAATAAAAGAGGGTAAAAATCAAGAGGGAAGAGATAGATTTTGGACGTATGTACGTACCCAGCTAGGGAGTTGAGATGGCCGAGGAAATTCCAGAACTCGCCCATGATAAACAATAAGATCTAGTTTGCATCAAATTAAGGTTGTAGGAGAGCAAAGTATGGATATATATTTATAAAGGTAGAGAGAGAGAGAGAGAGAGAGAGAGAGAGAGAGAGGGGAGAAAGGTGTCAAGATTTGAGAGGGAGCTAGCTAGAGCGCATTGGATTCTTAGCTTGGACGTGGCAACCTAGATTAAGCACCGACCAGGCATCAAGCCCAATATATACCACCCCCACAATGGGAGACTTGAACTAAGAGCTTAGTTAGTACTTTAATCTTTGTTGATGATAGATTGGTTAATTAATTAGTTGGTCTCTTAGAGGGTGTTTGTTCCCAATCCTATAATTTTAGGATATGGATTTTATCATGGGATTTGAAATCCATAGGTGTTTTGTTATGGGTTGGGATTTCTAAAATGTTGTTTGTTTCATTAATATTTTGGGATTTGGAATATTACAATTTGTAAAATTTTGTTTGTTTCAAGCTCAAATTGTAGCATTACCAAATACCAAAATTTTATAATATGATCAATATGCTATCTTGGTGAGGTTACCTCCCACAAAAAGACAAAATTGAGATTTATCAAATCCTCTCCAATTGAGAGGCAAGCACACTCGTTTATGGGATTTGTTAAAAATCCTCTCCAATTGAGAGGATTTGACAAATTCTAAAAATTGGACACTTTTTACATTTTTGGGATTCAATATTCTAAAAATTTTCTTAAAACAAACACCATATATGAAGTCCCAAAATACAAAAAAAAAATTACTTTTCGATCGCAAAACTTATAATCTATACCAAATGCCAAAAATTTAAACAAACACCCCCTTAGACAAGCAAACCTTGAGTTGCATGGGCCTGTGTGTTCGGAATTAGCATAGGTTGCTTTGTGCTATGTGCTGCAGGTTTCTTATATAATAAATGGTTTTTATGATATCCATAAAACCCTCAAATTAAGGGTGGGCATGGGCCAAGCCGGGCATGACCCATAAACCTGCTCATTCGGTTTTGGTCCGGGTCGGTTCAGACTCAGGCCAGGGCAGACCTCAGCGGACCGGGCCGGGCCGGGCCAAGAATTTTGTCTCTAGTCCGAGGCTAGACCCAGATCGACCCACGGCCTGCATTGGACTGCTGGGTTGGGTCCAACCCGACCCATGATGATTAGGATCTCTGGTTGGCTCACATTCATTTTTTTGTCCAATCCTTTCCCTTTTCAATTTTTTCTTTTTAAATTTTTTGCTAGATTAATATGTATAGTTTAAACAGGGAACCTGTATTTTACCTTTTTGAAAAGTCTGAAACGTATAAATTTACAATTGGGGATGGAATTATCTCAAAAGACAAAAGATTTTTAATAATTTGAGTGTTTTCGGTAAATTAAAATGATAATAAATATTCATCAAAATGCTAAATAGAACCTAGAAAATCTCTACTACTATAAAACTTACAATTCATATGATGGATGTTGCAATTTTAAATTGAGTTGCTGCTCAAATACATCGGCCAAGAGAGGCCCGGCAAGGTCAGAATGAGCTGAGCCTACTTTTTTATCCACAGGTTTAGAGGGGAACTCAGCCTGGTCTACAACCCATGTATATCATGGGCCGGGTTGGGCCTGATTCACTATGGGTCGGGAGAGGTCTTAACCCAAAGCGGGCTATGTTAGTTTGGCTCACGATTCGAACCGGCCCACGCCCAGTCCAAAATCTTCTTTATTTCTTTTTTTTTAATGAAACTAGTTCGATATATATTAGAACCTCAAATCTTACTATTTCTAAATAAGACCATCAAATTCTTCAAATTGATCCAAAAAAGACCCCATGGATTGTCTCCATCCAAATTCTTTATCTAAGCATGGTTAACTCTTTATCATATATAGTAAATTATAATAATGTACATTGAATTTGTGTAAGAATTCCAAACTCCAACCTAGATCACTTGATACTTTATCGATTTTGTGGTCATTTAGAAAGAACAAAATCAATGCATCTTTGATAGACGAATCAAATACCAATAGAAATCATGTGTAATTTAACCGATCATACATAAATTTTATCTTAGGTGTCATTTTGTACTATTGTCGTATAAATCTCTGTATCAAGTTACTATCAAGTAATATTCTTTAATTCGGTATTCTCCTTGTTTTACTTTCAATAGTAATATTTGAATAATGGTTATAAAATGACAACTCATTTTGCTAAATAAGCTATTAAGAAATAGAGTGTTGAGATTGTGAGATCTACAATTTATTATGTGATTAGAAAGGTGAGCTATATCATATGATCATTTCTTAGTAGTTCATTTAAAAAAACGTGTCGTCACCTCATACTTACTATTTCCATATATGGAGTAAGACCCTCTTCCACAAGAATTTTTTTTTCCCTTCCTTGTCAAAGAAGAAAAAGAAACATATTTCTTAACTGCATTCAATTATAATAAGTTACATTAAAGCCCTATGATTATATCCGTTCTTTTTTGTCTTTTTTAAGTGATTTTTATTTCTAAAACAGACTACCAGCTTACCGGATATATGTCATTCTCATGTAGGGGTGGCAATTTATGACCCAACCCATCAACCCGACCCGACCCGACCCATTTATATTGGGTATGGGTTAAGTTATATGGGTTGGGTCATAAATGGGTCAACCTGAATTTACCCGTTTATTAGATGGGTTGATCTACTGACCCGTCTACTGACCCGTCTAACACTCATCTAACCCGAATTTACCCAAGTGAACCTCTACAGACCCGACTAACCCTTCGTCTCTCTCAAACGAAGCCCTAGATTTCTCTCTCTCCTCTCGAGCGGCGAGGGGCGGCGGGCGGCAGCGATCCTCGAAGCTAAGTTCTCCTCTCTCCATCGGCGAGCGGCAGCGATCCTCGACGAGCGGCGAGGGGCAGCGCTCGAGTTCTCCTCTCTCCATCAAGCAGCCATAGTTCTCTCTCTCTCTCCATCGAACTAGCGGCCACAGATCCTCGACGATCCTCGACGAGCGGCGAGGTACACTCTTAGCTAGGGCTTTTTGATTAATGGCTACAAGCGGCGAGGTACACTCTTAGCTAGGGCTTTTTGATTAATGGCTACAGATCTGCTAATGTTAATGACGTATGATTAATGGCTACAGATTTTTCTGAGTATATCAATTTGAAACTACAGATTTTTCTTAAATTTCAGAATTTATAATTACTAAATAAAGAGTAGGTTTGTTGAAATTACAAGCTAGTTTGAAACAGAAATTTCATCATATTTTTGAAAGTAGGTTTGTTGAAATTAGAGATCACTGATTGTTAGAACTCTCAATCGAACACGAGCCTTGTTGAGATTGAGCTTCTAAGCATCAGGTCAGATTTATCTGTGAATGCAAACCATCAAATTTGGTCTCCTATTTTTGCCCCCTACTGTTTTTTTGCAGTGAAATAGAATCAAATATCTTCATATGTTCCTCTGTAACAACTAGAAGTCAGTAGCATCAACAATCCATTTGTCTCAATAATATGGGGTCTATCAATTCCTTTTTGTGAGGGATATTAGATAAATTAGCTACTAGTGTGTTCTTTATTGCCAATCGAAATCTTTTTTTTCTGCCTAATTCTTTGCAGCTCCCTTAACTATGTTTCTGTCACTATTAACAATGAAACAGATCTATTTCTCCATAGCCAAATCATTAAAAGATTTGTACTTCAAATTCCTGAATGCCTAATATAGTGTGTGAATGCTAGCAGGATTTGCCTTCAAGAGCAACTCTGAAAAGATTTAAGTTTCATGTGCATTTTTGGAAGTTTTTGTAACTCCAGTTCATGGTTTCTGAGCCTTCCATGATTGAACATTGTGTTTTTTCAATGATATACTAATGATATTTATTCTCTCATATATTTTTTATATTTAGGAATTCGACTCGTTTGAAAGCCAAGAAATTATTAGTTCTCAAAAAACCCAATTAGAACTTTTTTTGGATGAACCAAGACTTGACCGTGGTGCTCCACTCAACATTCTTTCATTTTGGAAGACTAATGAGCATAGATACCCCGAGCTCTCTCTATTGGCAAGGGACATAAAGGTGGTTCCTATTTCTACGGTTGCTTCGGAGAGTACTTTCAGTGTAGGTGGGAGAATCCTTAACCAATACCGTAGCACTCTTAAGCCTAACAATGTGGAGGCTTTACTCTGTGATTTCACTCCGATCTATGAATGGCATCTGAAGGAGAAAGAAAAGAAGAAGCAGATGACCTCAGAAGTAAGTACTACCATCAATTGTATAGCCCTTTGAAGATTTTTGTGGGTTCATTTCAATAAGGAGCGTGATTGAAAATGGTCTATCAGTACGAACATGGTTTGTTCTAACTTAAATGTCTGAATAATATTGTAGATATTCCCTTTTTTCTTAAATTAAAAAAAATGAAGTATCTGTTTAGTAGTCTAGAACACTTGCTTTTTTCGCCAAAGTTCTTGGAATTGTGTTTGGGTGGTCAACTGCATATTTTGATATAGTTAGTTCAACAGTTCTGCATATCTTCAGGAATGCTTATGTTAATGTTTTGTTCTCTTACATGTCATGCTTCAGTATTTTCTCTTTCTTTCCTTGGAACACAAATAAAAATGAAAAGTTCATGATTATGATTCATTTATTTACCGTTTCCTACAGTTTTTTATTTGCTTAAAGATAATGATGTTGGTCATATTAGATGTTTCATGTACTACATTGTTTCCCTCATCCAATGCACACATTGTTTCGTTAAAGAAAACCTGACACTCAACATTGCTACTGTATCATGTACTCGGTTTGTAATCATTAAGCTTACTTCAACTTTCTCAACTGTTGCCTTCTTCATGCGGATAACCATCACTCAGCCTTTGTCTATGAACCTCAAATCAGCCTATATGTTGGTTTCACTTTGAGATAATGTTATTTCCCTAACCATTACATGTTCCTCATAATAATAATAATAACTGGTTTTTGTTAATGAAATGAATGCTAAACTGGTAATTATGTTGTAAAACTTGTACTTTTCATGAAACTTAGCTGTATATTAAATTACTTGATCATGTCAAATGACATCCAGAATGGTTCATATAAACTAGGTGACAATCATTCAGCTAATATATATTCTTATGATTGTATATTAAATTTCCCTCTGTCCATTTCTTCTTTTGTTGAGAT